ACGCTCGATTGGCCGTGGCCATCTCCTGTCCTGTGCAAACTGACTGACTGACTGACCTTTCAGCATACCCCCAAGGAGTCAACGTTCTGGACACGGGGTTGAAGTGTGAGGATCAGAAATACTCAATCAACCGTACGCAGTGTTGGAAGCTAATTTCATCCGCCGACAACACAACGAACTGGACGCTCGATTGGCAAGAGCCATATTCGTCCTGTGCAACTGAACTGAACTGAACTGAACTGGACTGACCTTGAGCAGGGGAGGGTAAATTGAATGCACTCGTAGAGATGGACTGTGGGGGTTGTCCTGACGTAAAGAAAAGATGAGTTGCCAAGCTTTTTCCAGGAATATTGGGCCGGCGCTGATCGCTTGGTTCTTGTTGATCGCCCTGACGTCTATGTATTTATTTTTCATGTATGGTCTCCCATTTTATAATAATTTTGTACCGTTCAGTTGTTGGGAGTTCAGCCATCAAACGAGTTATAGTCTCATAATTGCCCATTCATTTTTGATAACATATGTCGTTTGTACATTCGGAAGAGCTACATTCATGGACCCGGGTTACCTCCCCGTGGGTAATGCTTCCAGCCTTTTTTAGATAAATTTTTACTCCTACAGGTGTTCCAGGAGAAAAGTTGACAACAATAGAGAAGGGCTCACCGCGAACGGTGATGTACAAATCGGTGGAAATAAACGGAATAGCCACGAGGCTTAAGTGGTGTGTTACTTGCGAGATTTACCGACCCCCCAGATGCTCCCATTGTTCTATTTGCAAACACTGTATCGATGTAAGTGCTCTTTTCTTTCACGATTGATCTTGCAGACCTTCGATCATCACTGCCCCTGGTTGAACAACTGTATAGGAAAACGGAATTACCGTTACTTTTTGGCTTTCCTACTATCGTTGACCGCACATATGCTAATCACATTTGGGATATCCGTTACGTTCGTTTTAATGCGAACCGATCGTTTGTCTAGTTATCCAGTTATTATTGCGTATCCTTTGCTGGTTTAGCTCGATGTATCTTTTTTTTTAAATTCAGTTGCCAATTAATACTTGTTTCCCGGACTCGCATGTATCTTCGGTCGACTTCGTCTTCATCTTCAAAAGTATAGAAAGCCCCACATGTTATGAGCCTTATTACCTTATCCGGGGATTCCTTATACTTCTACAAGCCCCCATATTCTCTTCAAATGTTTTCTCAGTCATCGTAAAAAGTGGCTTCAGACTACTCTACCGCTCTTCCGGGAGGAGCTCCAGAGCTTTGTTGCTCTTCTCGAAAAGTGGAAAACCAGCGACAAACTGACGGATTGTGGCTTCCGAAGTGTTTGAAGAAACTTCTGATACAATCCCCTTCCCTGAAACGAGCCGTACCTGCAACAATGGACCCGAATGGCATCGCAGATTTCGATGCGCACATATAGCGTCACCTCCGGTTATGCAATGCTACTCCGGAACTGAGTAGACCTGGTTGCATAGCGGTAAACCTTATAACTTGTATACTTCGGCCACCGTGCATGGGCGCACAACAACACCTCCATATTAGAGTCTTCAGCTTATGTGCGACGCGAGCACAACTAGGTGCTACGAGAAAAATCCGCCAAAGAATCGTCTGCCCATAGCATACCCCTCGTAATGATTCATACCTTATCCAGACGACATGCGGTTTGTAATGAGAATATGGTCGTCACTCCAAGGTGTCACCCACTGTCGAATATTCTGACTGAACGTCTTGGAAGGCTTAAGGTGGCGTTGGAAATCCTTCGACCAATGTACGTGTGCAGATTTAGACGTTTAATATTGATATCTATAACGTGTTCCATTATGACAACTGATCCAGATCTGCATAAAGCACCGTTGGAGTATTCTTGTTGTGAAGTACCCTCTAAGACCGATCATTTGTGATTCTTTGACGAGGCTGTAGTCTCCGCCTTATTGGAACCTCGAGATAATACGACTCAAATTAGTTTTTCTGATTCAGTATATTTTAAAACTTTGATCTGTAAATAAAATCAGTGATAAATTAGGGTTTAATTGTTTTGATTGAACACAATCTCTCATTGTTTTCTAAATGGTGGGTCACTCCTAGATGCTATTACTACTTTATTGCACTGCATCTGATCAGATCAGCGTATCCTATCATCATGAAATTAATCATTGCTCCTTTATTCAAGAAGGAATCACGCAACAATTGCGGAAATTACCGTGGTACGAGTTTAATTCTAACAGTTACTAGTGTGTTATTTCGCAGCCTGAGGCAAATAAACGTGAACAGCAGGCAATTTCCACTAGGTAGTAGCTGCATTGATCCAATCTCTATAGTGCGCCCGATGCTTCAGTTACACTACACGCATTGTTGCTCAACGATCGCGGCGTTCCTGAACTGAAAACGAGCCATCAATTCTGTTGTCTGTTAAGCCCTAACCGATTTGTTTCCTTGAAACGGAATATCCCGGAAATATATTAACCCATTGAGGTTTCTGTAGCAAATGCCCGCTCAATCAATCGGTCACGAGTGCGTCCAGAATTCAGGCTTTATTCCGCAAATACACAATACAATACAAAAAATAATTTGATAAGGAGTGGCAAGGGAAAACAAGTACGTGATGGAAAACGGACCGCACAGTGAAACAAACAAAAACAACTTAACATGACATTATCCCCCGCTTTTTTGCTCCACACTTGAACTAAACGTCCTCACATTTCTCAGGACCTGAGGTTATAGGAGTGAATCCATTGTTGTTTTTCTCTTAAAAATGTGCATTAGATTGTTCAGGTGAATGTTTCGCGGTTGATTTAGAATAACTTTCAGGAGGATATCGTGTAGATCGTGGACAGTTCTCAGTTTCTTGGCATGTATTGTGAGGGTGATCAGTGAGTAGGGTTATAGTACATCCAAATTGGTTTGCGACGTTGTTTTTGGAAGATCTTTACATCTTGGAGTAAGGTGATGAAGCAATACCGTCTGTTCTCAGTCACCTTGCAGGCGAACATGAGCATATATGGGATGGCACTTGAT